ATCGGTGAGAAAACAAAACTAAAACAAAAAAAGAAAGAACCGCCCATAAAAGACACGACAAAAACACACACAAAGTAACAAAAGAGTGGACTGGATGCACGGCAAGAAAATGAGGAGGAATGCGCGTGGAAGAGTGCAGGCGGAAAAGAACGTGAGAGGGGTGAAGAGAAGGAATAACGAAACACAATGAAATTAGACCAATCCAAGCGAGAGCAGCAATTCAAAGAGACACATAGCTGAGGAACTCATATTACCAAACTGGTGGTATTGGCTCTGTAGTTCACCCCTTCCAATTGCCACGGGCCAATATTTATTACTCCCCTCTGCGTTGTTTAAGCAAGATTTGTTAGTGACGCTGGCTTGTTGTCTGCCTCTCCCGTTAATTGTCTGTTGGCTTCCCATTCTTTCAATTCTTCGCCTCTGCTCTTTTTTTATTGTTGTTTAATTCTTTATTTATGCATCGAATATTTACTCCAAGGGCGCGGTGTATCGTCTGCGTTGATGGTGGCAGCCGCCTCCGCGGACTGGGGACAGCTGCGCCTCTATGTGCGCATGGAGGGTCTCTCTCCCTTTGCCCTGATTGTGGACGAGGAACTGACTCTTGAAGCACTAGAGCAGACCGCACGGCGTTACGTGCGCGATCGCTACGGACCAAGGGCGGACGCGGATCATCTGTTGCTGCGCCTCATTAAATTTTCTGGATCCGATAATCTGATGGACTTTTCTCGCGCGAGGAAACCGCACTCGCCGGTGAAGACGCTCGCCGATGCGAAGCTGACAGAATATACAGCTTCTGATGCGGGGGACGATTACGCGTTTGTGAAGGTGCTACCAGCGTACCATGACTCTAACTCCCCCGAGGCGATTCGTGCTTCCTTCCGAATATTACGTGCCCCAGTTTTGAACGACGGCTTTGCCGCAGGCGTGGAGGGAGGAGGTGCTGCCGCGCTCATCCCCTCCTCGACGTATATGTCGTTTGCAGGCTTTCACCGTCTGGTGCTGATGATGACGGACCCGCGTAATCCTCAGCGGGACTTGTTCGCCCGCGTCGTCCTCTTGACGTATCGTCAGTTTGTTACCCCGGAGGAGCTTCTGGGGCGATTGATTGAACGATACCATGTCCCGGCCTTAACGAGGCCGGGTGCCGCTGCTCGAAGTGCCTTGGAGCGTCGGTGCTACCTGGAACTCTGCCGCGATATCCAGTCGGCGGTGTTTGGTGTCCTGGAATTGTGGGTCAAGTGTTACTACGAGGACTTTTCCAGTGACGCGCTGTATCACCGCCTGCGCAGCTTCGCCAGCGAGAAGATCGACCAGGCTGGGGCCCCCGCGGCGCTCTTGCGGCGGATGGCGGAAGGCGACCGAACAGCTCCGTGCGGTCGGGCGCCAGCCATGCCCTTTGGTGTGCCCCGCCAGGGTGCCACGCCCATCGCCGTGCTGGCTCAATACCCGCCACGCGAGATTGCCGCCCAGCTCACAATTTTGACGTCCTACGTGCATCGCCGCCTCACAGGGCCAGAACTGCTTGAACGGCGATGTGAGACTGGGGGGGCAAGTTTGATGCCAACTTTTGTTCAGTACCGAGATTTCTTTGCTCGCGTCACGAACTGGGCGTCGTACGCCGTGGTCGCCGAAAAGGACTTGGCGCGTCGGAGGGAAAATTTAGCCGCGCTGATGCTGCTGTGCGATGAACTCGTCAAACGACGAAACTGGGACATGCTAGTTGCCGTCTACGGGGGAATGAAAGCTCCAGCGGTGAAGCGTCTGCGTCACACGTGGGCGTCGCTTCCTAGCGGCACCGTAGAACTCTCCGCTCGGCTGCAAAAACTGCTGGATTCTGAGACAGGATACAAAAGCTTGAAAGAAGTCCTGCGAAAAAGTAGTTGTTTGCTGTTTCCATGCATCACCATATTCCTTCAAGAGTTGAGGGAGCTGGAGGGGAGCAAATACGCCCAGGAAGGTCTTTTAAATTTCGAGTGTTGTTTGCGGCAGTATCGCCTTTTGCAGATTCTGCTCCAGGGCAAGGAAGTGGCGGTGGATCACTTGGTGCCCAACGAAGCGTTGATGGGAGCCTTTGGCCATTGGCAACCTGTGGAGGCTTCTATTTTAATGCAGTTCTCGAACGAGGCGGAGAAGCCGTAGTCAAAATAAATTATATATATATATATATATATATAATGCCGCTGCGATGGTGTTGTAACACCACAAACTTGTTTTATCGTTCGTTTGCGGTGTACTCGTGACTCGCTTACCTCTTTTTTATGTCTGTCTATCTTTCTTTCTTTATGCTGTCCTTTTTGTTTTTGTGTTGCCTTCTGCGTCTGCGTGATTGTGTGCGGCTTTCTGTCTTCTTTGGATTGCTGTTGCGGCGGATGCTGGTGGAGATGTCGTCCACGGTTCTTTTCTCCACGTTTCACTTGATAGACTATATTTATTTATTTTGCTTCCTTGCCTGACTGAAGTCATGCGGTCATCGCAATATATTTGGCGTCCCTACCACTCAGAGGCGTTACTTGATTTGAGGCGGTTTGCCTCGTCGGTTCGTCTGCAAACGGACTTTGGTGCGGCTACGCCGGCGCAGCGGCCGGTCAACTCCCTGTCACCCATCTACGTCACGGAGCCTGCGTCAAGGAAAGGGACGTTTTGGAAATACCTGCGTTCTGCCCGGGATGAGGCACCGTACATTGCAATGGCTGTGGCTGGTGTCGGCCTCTACAGCATGGCGACGCTGGCGATCCCTGCAAGCTTTGGACAACTCATTGACTTTGCCAGTAGAGGCGAATTGCCGCTTGGGACGTCTGTGCAGCTGTTGGGGTGGTTTGTGCTTTCAGGCGTAGGCAATTTTATGCGATTGGCGTGTATTGGGTATGCCGGAGAACGCGTCATTGCGCGTCTGCGAAGTCGTCTCTACCGCGGATTCCTCAGCCAACCAACCGCCTTCTTTGACTCCCCTGAAAACGCCACAGGGTCTCTGGTGCAGCGCCTCTCCATGGACTGCAATGTCGTGGGTAGCTCCCTCACAGAGGCGGTAACGCAAGGGAGCAAGAATCTTCTACAGACGGTGGGTAGTGTTGGCATTATGCTGTACTACTCCCCAATCCTGACAGGGGTGATATGTGGCATGATTCCCCCGTTGGCGGTGTTTGCTGGTTTTTACGGACGCTATGTTCGACGACTGCAGCAACAGATGCAGGACGCGCTCGCCGCAAAGGGGACGGTTGCGGCGGAAAGGCTGGGCAACATTCGTACCGTAAAGGCATTTGCCCGGGAGTCGGAAGAATTGACGTGGTACGAAAAGAAAGTCGAGGTTGTCTTTCGGATCAGTAAACGCATGTTGTTTTATAATGCCGCGTATACGGCCTCACTGCAGTTTGTGGGGTATGGTGCGTTGTATTGCATCATGTGGGCAGGATCTATGCTGGTGGCGTCAAACAACTTGTCGACCGGCGTCCTCTTCTCCTTCGTCCTTTACACGGTGTACTGTGGAATCGGGCTCATGGGGTTGACGAACCTGGCAACGGAAATCAACAAGGGCTACGGTGCCAGTTTGCGCATCTACGACATCTTGGAAAAGGAGGAACAGCTGCAGAAGACGCAGGATGAGGCACAGGCGACGATTCCTTTGCAGTGCAAATGGAACATCAAATTTAGTGATGTCTCGTTTGCCTACCCGACACGTCCCGAGGCGCCTGTGTATGAAAAGTTGAACTTGGAGGTTTTGCCGTCGTGTTGCACCTGCGTGGTAGGCAGCAGTGGCTCTGGTAAAAGTTCTCTTGCGCTGCTGCTCCTGAAGTTGTACGGCCCGACGCAGGGCAGCATCACCATCGATGACCAGGAAGTGAGCAGCCTGGACACGCGTTGGCTGCGCGGCAAAATTGGCTACGTGGGCCAGGAGCCCGTGCTGTTTGGTGGCTCCATTGCACAGAATATTGCCTACGGTGCACCCAATCACAACTGGGACGACCCAATTGATAGATGGTTGTACTCCTCCATTGTCGACGCGGCGATGCGGGCCAACGCACACGACTTTATCTCGGCTCTTCCGCAGGGCTACGACACTTTTGTCGGCGAGGGCGGCCGGTCACTGTCTGGTGGCCAAAAGCAGCGTATTGCCATTGCGCGTGCCCTGCTGCGGTCCCCCAACGTACTGATGCTTGACGAGGCAACCTCGGCACTCGATAGCGAGTCGGAGGTGGTGGTCCAAGAGGCCATCAACCGACTCATTGAGGATGCCAAGCGGGGGAAGGAGAAGCGCACGGTTCTCATCTTTGCACACAAGCTGAGCATGATTCGCAAGGCCGATCACATTGTGGTGCTTGACAAGGGGAGGGTCGCGGTGCAGGGAAGTTTCCACGAGGTTCGAAAGAATCCTCTCTTCTGCCAGCTCGTTGGCCTTCCGTCTGCCGCCGCGCCTGCCGCCGCGCCTGCCGCCGACACTTCTGCCGAAAAGGGGTAAAAATGGGTCAACAATGAGACATGAACTCCGTACAGAGAATTGCGTGAAGGACGGTGTCGCGTTACACTGCGCAATCGAAACGTAACGTAAGGAACAGAAAAAAACAACAACAACAAAAAAAGCTGCTGGCGTGGTTTATATTGATAGAAGAAAAACAAAAAGCAAACAGATGGTTATGTGGCATGAGAGGTGTGAGGGAGTTGGGTGTGTGTGTGTGTGTGTGTAGTTGAATTACTTTTTTGTTTTGCTCACTTTGCGCGTCCGTTAGGAACTGCTGTGTAAACATGTGCATTGCCGGACGTTGAGGCTTAGTAAGAATTTATATATTTTCACTTCCCAACTGCCCACCGCTCCTCCTTTTCGTTGCTGGGCGGGTGGCGAGAGGAAGCTGGGAGTTTGCGACAGTCCTGCTGCGTGCGTCTCTGTGCGTGTGTGTGCGCTTCCGTTTGGCGTGTAGGGTCATCTTCATTTCCTTCTTCCTCTGCAACACGCACTTTTTTTTATTTTATTTTGTGTGTCTTTTGGCGCCATTTGGTGCCGCGCTGGCTACTTTGCCCAATGGTAGAAGCAGCTACACATACTGCCGTATTCTGCTCCCTGCCTGGTCTGAAGTGGGTTGCAGCGTGTCTTGTGATTCGGAGGGGAGGAAGGACAACAACCGCAAAAGGAGCAGGTAAACACGAAGGAGCTCAGGTAAAGTAACAGGGCTACTTAAACTGGAGGAGAGAGGCGGGGAAGCTCGCATGTCGGTGGAGTCGGGAGCCAATAACCTGGCGGCGGAGGAGGCGCCGCAACCGCCGCGGTCGGAGTCCGAGTCGGTGGGGGTGCGGGAGTCCGGCGTTGCCTCCTCAAGCGTGGTCACTCAGCAGTCTCCGGAGCAACTCCCTAAAGGCGGCGAGGAGAGCGTGCCAAGCAATAGCAACTCCTTCTCCGTGGCCCGGCCTAGCGTCGCCACGGACCCAGAGCCGTTGCGGAACCTTATTGTGAATTATATTCCTCCCATGATGGATGAAATGCAGCTGTGCAGCCTCTTTGGCCAGTTTGGTCCCATTGAAAGCGTGAAAATTATCTATGACAGGGAGACGCGCGAGAGCCGGGGTTATGGTTTTGTGAAGTACGTTCACTATTTTAGTGCGTCGTATGCCGCAAATTCCCTCAATGGGTACTGCATCGCGGGGAAGCGTCTGAAGGTGGCGTACGCTAATGTGGAGGCGGCGTGGGAGGCCTACAATGCGCTGCGGGCGTCAGCCATGATGTTCTCGCTACCGCAGCAGGCGGCCTTGCAGAACGTCTTCTACCAGCAAATGCTCCTGGCACGGCAGGAGGGCGATGAACGGCATCAGCGGTAGCAGTCGCACTGGGGGCATGACGTGGAAGACGTGGGGCAACTTTATCTCCCTTTCTCTTCTCGGAGGCGGGAGTTGGGGACTGCTGATTGTTTGCTTTGGCCTGCCGCTGCTCTATTCGTTTGCTTCTTTTTCGCCGTGCCCCTTCCCCCCTTTTCGCTCCCTGCCCCCAGGCCTGGGGGCAGCGGGGCCTGGGCGGCACGGGCGAAGGAGCGAGCGCGGATGCGTGGGGCGGTTGCGGCATGTGAGGCTCACGCCTCTCTCGGCGGCGTGCGGCGCGAGCAACGGCAGGAGGGAGATGCCGCAGCGAGGCGCACGCGCACGTCCTGGCGGTTGTCCGCCGGCACGAGGGTGGGGTCGCCAGGCAAACGTCACACTGAGCGGGGCGGGCGGGGGGGGGAGAAACCCTGCGGCTGCGGAGGGAGAGAATTGGGGCATGAGGGCGAAAACAACACACGCGCATAATCGCAGGGAGGAAAACCAAAAAAACGAAAAAAAAAGAAAAAAAAAGAAAAAAAA